TTGGTGCCTGGAGGGGATAGATGGACCCTGGGGATTACATCCCCACGACAATCAGTGCACATTCCTCACTATAAACAACCTGACGCGTTCGAATCCATCACTGTGCCCTAAAAGCCGTGGCTTGGAAGGCTGTCAACTGACGAGATAGCTGGGCCCTCAGGACAGAGAGTCAGGCTGGAATGACCCTGCTCAATTTGACGTTTATTTGGGAAGACGGGTTGCCCGGGAAGTCGGGTTGCCCCTAAGCCTAGCTGCTGGCTACCCCGCGCGTCCACAGGTGGTGGATAGTGGGACGACCTTCAGTGAAGGTTAGCTGCTAAATAAGCAGTCGCGGACCAGCAGCAACATTACTACCAAGGTGCGGAGGGCTGCGGTCCGGCACACTGAAAGCCTTATAGAAAGCCGCGAAGCCCGATGACGGCACTGTGACAGCGACCTTGCCAAGTGACACCGAGATTTCCCTTAGCCACGTGAAATATCAAATGAAACCCGCCGTGTTGCTATTACTACTGTGGCAGTCCGTCCCTCCTTGACCGCTGGCGCGCCTGTTTACTTATGCCACCTCCCTGTCCGCCTCAAGCTCCCTATCAATTCACGCACCAGCCCGAGGGGAGATAGAGCCCGATCGGCGCTGCGTTGTTCAGTGACTGGCTGCTGACATGCCTGCATGAGATTGCTGAAAGTAGCGCGACTGTCGAGTATTCAGTTGGCCGCCCGGTTAATAGACCACCTTCCAGCCACTCGGACCAACACCCGGCCGCTGCAGCGAGCAACATCGAGCAGGAGCATTCACAGGCGGTCGATAGCCCCCCAACTGGTAGAGAGGCGCTCACCGATCGCGTTATGGAACTCACTCGTCCTGTTGTGTCTTGGAGCTCTCGAGCCCCGCCACCAGCCGCACAACGGCGCGTAATATAGGCAGGATAGCAAGTCGTCCTTGTTCTTGTCAGTAATGCTATTTAACTCCCCAACTTCCTAAATTAAAGCGCAAACGGCGAAACAAGGTGTCGATTCACGCAACCTGCAATACTTGGGCATCTTTGAGAAGGGCCGAGCGCAAACTCCTCGAAAAACACAACTTCACTCCTTACAGACATTGCTCGCCTGGTCTGCCATTCAGGCCCCAACTAAGCGAACTATGACCCCAAAATTTTCCGAAGCAAATCTAGATGCATTTGGCGCACTGGTTGATCTGGTTGCGATCAGTAAAGGATATGGCTAACCACGCGGGGGCAAACGGCCGTCAGCCATGTCGCTTCTAGATCCGCAATACTTTGCAAGGAAGTCCTTACCTATCGGTTTATTTTAATACGGGGTTTTCACTGAAGTCCAAATAGCTCATGCCCCTCATAGGCGTGATTTCCACGTAGGCATACATATTGAAATTTGTGCTTCATTTGACCGTCTGATGGGCGATTGCCAAACCCGCTGCCTATTTATACGAAGGTCGTCGCCTAATTCTCCAGTCGTGGATATATCCTAGCTGTATGTAGTCCTATGGCGTCTGGTGAGTGGTTGGTCCCCCTGCGAGGCTATTTGTCTGGCTGGAATTTAGGTGCCAGGGTTCCTGCAACCCACAGGTCTGGCAGGTGACAGCGACCTCAGAAGTCAAGGTTCTGGTGGGCGATATACTCTGTAGTGGACAGCCATAATGGCTGCGTCGCGTCTCTCGCTAGCGCCTGCACCTACGTCCAAGCGACAGCCTGCTATGGCACGTACGTCTGCCCGGCTTCGATTT